ACCGCTCCAGCAGTGGCTCAATTGTTCATGCGGGAGGTGGTTCGCTTGCATGGGATTCCCCGCTCCATTGTTTCGGATCGTGATAAGGTTTTCTTAAGCGGGTTTTGGACTGAGTTGTTTCGTCTTCAGGGGACATCACTCAAGCGTAGTACTGCGTATCACCCCCAGACGGACGGACAGTCGGAGGTAGTCAACCGTTGTGTTGAGACATATTTACGTTGTTTCGCGTCTGACAAACCTCGTCAATGGATGCGTTGGTTGGCTTAGGCGGAGTATTGGTATAATACCTCATACCATTCGGCGGCTAAGACTACACCCTTTCATGTGGTGTATGGCCGAGCCCCTCCACCCTTGATCCGGTTTGGTTCTGGTAAGACAGTGGTCGCGTCGCTTGAGCGTCAGTTGGAAGACAGAGACGCTGCTCTAGATGAACTCAAGTCTCACCTCCTACGGGCACAAGACAAGATGAAGGCGGTGGCCGATGGCAAGAGGCGGGATGTCGAGTTTTCGGTGGGAGATTTGGTGTTTCTCAAGCTGCGTCCTTATCGGCAATTGTCATTGTCCCGTCGCAGGAATGAGAAGCTGGCACCCCGTTTCTTTGGACCTTATGAGGTGGCACAGCGGATTGGTAAGGTGGCTTACCGTTTGCGGCTCCCTGAGTCCGCTCGAATTCACCCGGTTTTCCATGTGTCCAATCTCAAGCGTTGTTTGGGACCGGCTGAGGCCTCTCAGGAGCTTCCCGCTCAGCTTACCACGGACATGGAAATGCTGATGGAACCGGTAGCGGTTTTGGGTGTTCGCCAGCCTAGTGAGGGCAGCGGGAGTGAGGTGGAGGTGTTGATCCATTGGCACGGGATGCCCGCCTTTGATGCGACTTCGGAATCGTTCTCGACTATCCAACACCATTTTCCCTCCTTTCACCTTGAGGACAAGGTGCAGGTTTGGGCGGCGGGTAATGATAGGCCACCGGTGCACTTTACTTACGTGAGGAGAAATAAAAGGCAGGGGTAGAAGGGGAATTTTGTAAGGGGGCGGTCTATGGTAGTATCCGGGGATATATAGTTAGAAAATAAAGAGAGGAGATAGTTAGACAATTGTCTTGTGAGGAAATTGGAGAGTTGAGGTCTCTCGAAAACCTCTGTATGTGTGTAGAGTGTGTGGAAAGTTCCTAATTGAATCTTTCCGATAGTAGATAATTGAATAATATTTGAGTAATTGCATTCTTACTGGTGATTTGTTGGTGATCTCGTATCAGAATTGCAAGCCAATAGCTGGCTATCACACACAGAAAGGGGGCACCGAATTTGGTGCCCCATACAGCCCAAAGAAAACGCGTATGGTGGCTCTATAAATTGAGCCCCCGTTCAGTTCATTTTCAAGCATTCCAGCTGCAAGGAATAGAGAGAGCTGTTGAGAGAGTTTTTTGTGTACCTACAAAAGTGTTTTCTTTGTAGAGAGATTGGGTAGATTACCACACTAGGTGAGTGTGAGAGAAATAGTAAGGATTCCACACTGGGTGAGTGTGAAAAAAATAGTGAGGATTAAACACCGGTGAGTGAGAGAATTTTTGTTGAAGAGAGATTGTTGACTACCCATTATTGTTAAAGTGGAAGTTATTGTCGAGATAAAATTCCTAGTGTCCATTTTATTTTTCGCTTAAATTAGATCCTGAAGGGGAATTGGAATTTTAACCATATTCCCAACATAATATTACCTTGGATATGGCCTCCAATGAATAGGGAGAGTCGAAGTTTGAGTCCATTGAATGAGTTCTTGCTAGATCAGCTAATGCCTTTGCTAGCATTGAAATGGAATCACGGTTAAGATTGTGGCGGAGTTACTAATACCACCAAAACAGATTTGTCAATGATAAAAACACGTACCAGACTCGATTACATCTTTGCATCTTGACGTGGTTGAAATAATTTCATGATCAAAAAGATTATCAAAAAGCCCATCCGATCCCATTACTATGGTGTCTCCTTCTCGCAACTCCACACTATTAACCTGTTGTTAAATAAGTAGATCATAATAGTGATGCACGAAGACTATAAGCATATAAACAAAATCTTCTCCTGTAAGCATAAGCACTCAAATATAATTTATTCTCTGGTTCAGGTGTACAGCTGAGTGCCATCCATTAAATTACAAAAATTCAATCTTTTGTTGGACTTGTAAAGCAGAAAAAACCTCATTAGCCAAAAAAATTTGAAGACCTGATTCAAATTATGGCATTGAAATCTTTATAGCTTGATTGGCATCTACAAAAGGTAGAAACACGTATATTATTGGAATAAGAATCATACCATTGCATCACGGTAAGTCTGGCCAATGGCCTCTGAGCTCAGCTGATAAGGACAGTCAAAATAATGTTCTTGTGGAGATGTAGAGAAAACTACTCGACCTGAAAATCAAGTGTAAAAAAGCCATTTCATTGTGCAAAGAAGGAAAAGTGAATCTACAGAAAGCAATAGAAAAGCTCAGAATTTGGGACAAACAAAGGGGACCTTCACGGATAATCCTTAGCCCACAATCCCCCACATTGGCGATCTTCAACATCCCGTTCCTCTCAAACATGGCCACAATTCTACTCGGACATGCGAAAAACTGAATTAATTATGTGCACAAGAACAAAAACATGTACCTTAGCACATAAAAATGCAAAATAAGTGCTCCAAACAACTTAAGTGAAATCAAAACCAAATTGTACTTACACTGTAGCTGAACCAACAGAGGAGGTAGCAGCATGTGCTTTCCCAATGAGAAACTGCGGATCTTTGTTAACCTGGTAAAGCAGTCGACATATCTTGGCATGTCAGCCAACATTAATATAATGTTCGATTAAAGTCAGCTTGATAAACATGTTACAGGTTTGAGTAAATATCAGAAAGCAATACCTCTTCATCCCCCACTAAGTAAGAAACATTAGCCATCAATTCCCGGGGGAACAAGGAAGGATCCACACCCTCTTCAGCCCAACTGGAGAAAAAAATAAAAAATAAAAAATAAAAAAAAATTCAGAAATACCAAATTTCAAGAATTCCTGGCACCACTGATGCATGGCAACCAAAACTTTAAACTTAATTACGTCTAAATATTTATGTTTCCATTTTCTTCCCATATGACAAATTATATTTAAACTTTAGAAATCACCATATATAAATGTAGAAAGCCCCCATTAGCCATACCCGGAGACGCCATCAGCAACAGCAATAATTCCTCCATTTTGGCTGCTCACAAAGAAAGCATCTTCCCCACCTCGGTCAACCTTTTCATGAAAAACAACAGCAAAAGAACGTTACCAAAAAAAAACAAAAACATATTCTGTTCATTAAGCTTTATTACCACGAGGAACAAGAGAGAATAGAAATCACATCTGCTTTCAATGAGTTCCAAATACCTTGTTGGGGTGTGGAATAAGGTGAGTTCCAACAGAAAAAGATAAGGCAGGCCTACAACCACCGCAAAATAAATAGAAAAAGCCAAGTAGTTTTAGCAATTAGCATGTTTAGCACCCCAAAAAAAAAAAAAAATTTAACTTGTTGTAGGTTAAGCACGCAAAATAAATAGAAAAAGCCAAGTAGTTTTAGCAATTAGCATGTTTAGCACCCCAAAAAAAAAAAAAAATTTAACTTGTTGTAAGTTAAGCAAAGATATGGGAAAGAGTCACCAACATAAATCATTAATACTACGGCTAAGGCATAGAAATACAGAGATTTTGAGATAAATATGTCAAAGAATTTGATGGCAAATATTCCATTCCACGTAACAAAATGCCACAACCAGAAAAGCGCTCGCATACTCTAACGAATCAAATCACATTAAAAAGAAGACGAACGGCAAAAATATGAGAATAGTAAATGGGGCATTGACTCACTGAACTGGATTGACTTCGGAGGGAACACAAAAGAGCAACCTTCTCTTATGCGAAGTAGTGTCGTCTGGGCCTGGAAAAGAAGAAGGACGAAAGGGATAAGAGTGAGGAATTGAAGAACTGAATATGGGAACTGCCATATTCTTTCTTTCTTGCTTCCACTCCCTTTCTTCCTCGTCAGTCGCTCAGCTGTCGCTGGCCAACACTATTTGCACGGAAAATGTGTGGACCAACTTGACAATTTAAGCGTCCACACATGTAAGAAAAGTAATGTGTATATATTTATTTTTTTAATTTGAGTCATCAAGCACCAGTGGTCTAGTGGTAGAATAGTACCCTGCCACGGTACAGACCCGGGTTCGATTCCCGGCTGGTGCAGTTATTGCTTTTTATTTTTTCTTAAACGGGATAAAAAATTCCAGTTTTTAGGCGCATTAGCTCGTTGCTGTTTCTGTGTCTACTCGTCGAATATTCTGGTACAAAATTTTCACGTCTTTCTCGAACTCCGCTTCTCGCTTGGGCCTTGGAATCTCCAATAATGAACGCCATGCCAGTCTCTCCAGCTGATTTCGTAGAAGGTTTTTTCTAACTCTTTCTCCCCTTAAATTGATTTCCCATTTTGTTTGGCTAAAAAGCGTTCAAACTTCCTCTATTTTCCCAACATTACCTCAAAATAATCCAAATTTTATTTCATCGTTTCCGTCGAGTTCGTCCACATTTCTGTTGCCATCCCCAAAGTGTCTGCCTAATGTGTGTGGTTATTGCAGATCACGTCAATGGAAGCGATTCCGACACCAACTTCGATGTCGACGATGCCGCTCCGGAGTACTACCAGCCAATCTCCGCCGCCGACGACGACGAAGATTCCGGTCCGATCAGCGACTCGGCCGATGAAGATCGCCACGCAAACGGAGAGGCTGAATTTCAGTCCCGGCCGCTTTCGAACGGCAACTATAATGCGAGTCAAGCGGAAAACGGAATGACGTCCCTCTGCTTAAACGACGACATCGAGCGGAACAAGAGCTGCAGCGAAGACGAAGAGGAAGAAGAAGAGGAAGAGGAGAGGATGAGAGAGACCGCTGATTCGGCGATAACAAGGGCTTTTAGAGAAGACGAGAATCGGAGGAACGCGCCGTTGACGGCGGAGAACGCGACGAGGGTTATGGAGGCCATGCGTGGGATCTCCTTCGGTGGCGTGGCTCCAGATTGGGCTGATCGAATTCCCGAGAATCACTGGATCGACCAGCTTCGCAGACCCAGACAGCCACCACAAGCTTAGATTGTCAAAGATTGCACTTTCAGGTGCTGAATTTTTCCTCTATTTATTAGTGTATGTGAATTCAGACGTGGATTTAGTAAAGTTCAAAATTGTATTTGATTCTTGCCTGTTTGTCAAATTTCCTTTGATACATTCTTGTTGAAGCCTAAATACATTCTTGTTGAAGCCTAAAAGTATTTAATTTTTCGCATGCCTGTACAAAAATCCATGAAAGAGAGTATACCAGTTTCAGTTCAAATTAAAGTAGTTGAGCTAGCTTTGGATGGAGTTTTGTGCCCATGAACTACTGCTATTTTGCTAGCATAATGTTGAATATATTAAAATGAAGCTAACAAGTCTTGAGCCAAAAATTAATGACAAAAACAAAGGGTACCGAAACGCATGAGGGTTAGAACCCTAATTTCATACAAATCAACAAACTATACGCTTAAGTCGTCCATGACAGTCTCACACCAACATAAATCCAATTTGAAGTACCACATCATGCTACATGATTAAAACATTATTGTTTATGGATTCCATAAAACTAGTCTCACTTCCCAAAAATTTGCTCCAAATGCCATTCATGGTTTGGCGGCTGGACTCTGGATATTATTCGGATTTAGCTATGTCGCAATTGGTATTGATGTAATCTCATAGTAGTCGGGATGCTACAGAAGAAGGAAGGTGATGTTGTCTTCTCAAGCCGCAACATTCTCAATGTCTGCACCTCTGTCCATTCTCTTCACAATGCCGGCTATGACCTGATAAATTATTAAAGACATAAAAACTCAGAAAGATGTAATGAAGCTCAAAATTTTATAAACGTTCAAACTCAAAGTTATAATCTGCAAGCTTTACAGACCAAAGACTTTACCTTTCCAGGTCCCAATTCATAGCCCTTCTGCAGCCCCTTGGTTAGAAGAGTCTTGACCGTTGTTTCCCATTGAACAGGAGAAGTCACCTGTGACATTGATTGAATAGGTGGAGATGAATATTCTCGCAGCCAACCCATTATTAGCTAGATATAGTTCCGAGTACCTTACCTGACTTGCCAATATCTTCTTAATTGTGTCGGGATCTGCATGGGGCTGTGCATCAACGTTGGAGATAACCGGTATTCTAGGAGTTCTGATCTCAGTTGCCGCTAATGCAGCTTCCAATCTCGATACAGCTGGTTCCATGAAACTAGTGTGGAAAGCACCGGCAACAGCCAGACGCACCTGAGCAAAAAGAGGAAGAGGCAATAATTTTGTTGTCGCTCAACACCGAGAGTGAAGAAGATGAAAACCATAGTTCAAAGAATTGTACCGTCATGCGAGCTTTAAATGACTTTGCCTTTGCTTCGACAGCTTCCACTCCTTTTAAACCTCCAGATACAGCATAGTTCCCCTTAAAAAACAGAAGCAGTCATGGCCCAATACTTGTTAATCAATTAAAAAGAAATTATCCATATAGGCTGATTATGGTCCTTACAGGACATAGGTAATTTGCAATCTGAACTTTTTCATTCGCATCAACTTCTTGATTGGCTGCATCACACAACTGTTGCACCTTATCCGAATCCAGTCCTATGACACTGACCATAGCACTTTTGGCAGCATCGGCAGCTTCCTTAAGGAAGTTGAAAAGAATAGTTATTAGTGAGAATAATTACAAATTCAAGCATGAAAGGACATGAATTGCGGAGGACTATTAGACAACTACCAAAATACCTGCATGACTTCTCCCCTTAGTTTAACAAGCTTGAGGCCATCCTCGAAACTTACATATTGAAGAGCCCACAAGAAAAGACATGATGTCAAGTCGACACAATTCAGATAAATGTATTTAATACATATTTCCACAATTTATCTAGCAGTGCATGAATATATTAATCAAGAAAAAGATAAACAACGAGCATGATGCTTAGTTTACATTTCTTAAACATGGCAGAGCAACAATTGGTTGGCTTAAATAGTAACTTATGGTATTCGATGCAGTATGATTTGTGCAATTAATTATAATAATACGAAATATGCAATCGAGATGCAACTATTATTGTACATTTCTTGTTTCTTCACCGGTTGCCTCACCTAAAGGCCCCAGAGAAGGCGAGAGCAGTGTACTCTCCCAAACTTAGACCGCATGCAACATCAACAGAATCAATTATCTGCTGACCTCCGTCCTGAGCACGAAACAACTCTACAGCGGCGAGACTTGTAACATAGATAGCTGGCTGCAAAAGATAAGGATTAGAAGCTAACCGATGACTATTAGTGGAAATACATTTCAAAGTCACAATTCATCTAAATTCCAAATTGTAATGCAATTTCACCCTTGAAAGAACATAATTCAGAGATGGATAGAGAGCCAGGAACACACACATATTTGTTTAAAAGTGATCATCGAGTACCTGGCTTATAACAGTTGAATCTAGCTTCTCTTTTGGTCCATTGATGCAAACGTCAAGAAGATCAAAGCTGCAGATAAAAGACATATATACAACTGAGAACATAAAACATTGACAGAATACAATAGTAAACTGCATTGTTTGTCAACATTAAACTTAATACAAGATGATGAAAGGAAATATTATTTTCATTTATACCCCAAAATATCATTTGCCTTCTTGTACAACTCTGCAGCAGCAGGCAGATTTTGTGCCTCCTTTCCCATTCCAACTGCTTGAGCACCCTAACACACGAAACTAAGAAAACATGAATAATTGAATCTCAATCCAACTTATTGCAAGAAGTTAACATAATCCACAGCTCAAATTTTCTTCACTCATTTGTGGCCTCACAATTGAAAACCAAAATAGCTTTTTTCTGAATCTGATTCAAAAAAGAATGAAAATTTCCGCAACCTATAACATTTCCTTGCACATTAATCCACATTTTCATCAAAAATTAGGAAACTAGCAAATCTTTAGTCAATCACATTCATGAATGTGCGTATTTCCTAGGAGCGCAAAGCAAAGGAGCTTCGGGAAACTCACCTGGCCGGGGAAGAGGAAGGCGAGGCTGGGCTTGTAATCGGCAAACAAGCCGTCGTGGACGACGGTCTGCGATCCGACGGAGACGCTCATGAAGACGCGAGATCGGCCAAGGTTTCTGGCACCGCAGCTCCGGAATCCATTTCCGAAACCGCAAAGGGGGGAGCAATTGGAGGACTTGGAGGAGCCGGAGAGGGCGAGAGAAGCAGAAGGAAGAGCGAGAGAGGAGCTCATAGACATGGCGGCGGCGGCGGCGACGGCGAGGAGCGAATTGGAGGAGAGGAAGCGCGTGCGCAGGATAAGAGTGTGCCGATTGTGAAGAATAACTGTTTGCATAAACGTTTGTGTGATATCAATACGCCGTGGTGAGTGTTTGGGTGTTTTATAAAATGCGCAGGGGGTGTGTAGGTTAGGCTTGCGGAGTTTACGAAGGTAGACGTTGGCTTTAATTGGAGATGGGAAGTGACAAAGCAAGGAAAACCGGCCAACTGCCTTTTCTTTGCGCCTCTTTGTTCCTGTCCTTTTCTTTTTTCTGTTTTTATTAATTAATAACTAGTATGGGATCGTGCCTAAGGCACCTTTGTGCTTTAGGTTGTCAGGAGAATACTTAAAAAGAGCTTTATAAGAACGAAATATATTTGTGCAAAAGAATAGACATAGTTGAAAGATAACATACATATGGAAATGCAAAGTGCAGTTCCTTTGCTCATTGTTTGTGTCTACAAAAATAAGTCATTTGATTTATATGTATGATAAGCTATTATAAAGCCGAGAACCTGTAAAGTTCTAAGCTAACTGGATGTTGTTCATTTCACAACTCAAATTACAACTTAAGTTTTATTACTACAATATTTTTTCTCATAAAAATTTAAATTTAATTTTTTCGTTATAATATTTTGCCCTCACATACACAACTCAAGTTTTGAACTTTGAGTTGCGAAACAAACATACTTGAGTTCTAGAAACTTCCAGCTTGTAGAGAGATACAATCTGCCTTTCAATTACAATATCTTCACATCTTATATGATCATAGTTACTAAATTAGAATAATAATAATAAAAAGTTTAGTTAGTACGAATGAAAATCAATCATAATTTTAGTCTGTCATGCGTGAAACTTATACATTGTTCAAAACAAATGAAAGAATGAAAAAAACAAAAAAACAAAAAAACAAAAAAAAAAAAAAAAAGGAATACATTAGCCCCGAGTGGTCCAAACGAGCCCCATACATTAGCCCATTGCATAATTGCCCTTATGCACACATCTCATTTTCAAAGTGAACAATAAAGCACCCAAAAAAAAATGCCAATTCTCTTTTAATATTAAGAAAGAGAGCGAGTTATATAAATCATACTCCAAACTCCAAATCAACTACAGTATCGGGTAAATAATAGAACATTGGAAGAAAGCTATGCTCTACCAAGTAAACATTGGAGCTTCTCTTATATTATTCTGTGCATGTTTACTTTGCATCAAAATTTTTGGAAAGAGAAAGGGAAAGGGAAAGTAAGGAAAGTAAAGATTGATTTTCTTTTTAATTTAATAATGTGTTTATTTAGAACAATTTCACTTAAAGCAACTCTAATTATGTTAGTTATTTTATGTTTTTAGTTAAAATAATTAATAATTTAACTTCTTTTTTTTTTTTAGCTTTTTTCACTCCAACCATTAGCTATTTTGACTAAAACATTTTTCACTAGTTAAATATAACTAGTAATAAGTTGCTAGCTATTTATTTTTTATTATTTTATTCTTTATTTTGATATAAAGTAAAAGTTATTTATATTTTAAACTTAAAAAAAATATTAAAATAATCTATGTTTAGCTAAAATGGGGAATATGGTTAGAGTGACTCACTAAAAAGTTGCTAGTTAAAATAGATTTCTAGCCATTTTAACTAGAGTTTAACTAAAATTTAGAGAGCTCCAAGATGCTTTTACAAAATTAGTAATGGAGATTTAGTAGACCCCACAAAATATAAGAAATACCAATCTTTACACCCCTTTTAGTATTGATTCCTTGTAAAATGAAATAAATGCTAAATTTACATATCTACTCTTAATGAATTACTATGCATTCAATAATTATTTAATTGTCTAAAATGACATTTTAGTAATTACATTCATAATATTACTATTCTTAATTTTAATAAACATAAAAAAAAAGAATGAGGTTGTTTTTCATTACATCATCTAATAATCAAATAAACATATGAAGAGAATGAATGAACATTAATCCAATTAAATTTTTTTTTTTTTCAATATCATTACCTTTTCTATTATATTTATGGTTTACGGTTTGGTGGAGGCTCCCAAAGTGTAAAAAAGGAGGACGCAAAGACATACATGAACGACAAAATAGGCCCAACCACCGTCCTCCTGAAAAAAATTTATAAGCTGATAATCTTTCAATCCAATATTTAAACTCCTTTGTTAAGATATACAGATTATTCAGACTTGTTCTTTTGTTGTTTGCTGCAACCAAATTACGCAAACTATAAAATCAAAAATCAGAATGAAATTAGTAAACAAGACCTCATTAAATCGAAGATAATGAAGAAAAAACAAATAAATAGACAGAGACAGAACCTATAGCTTGCGGGGTTTTCAAACGCTCCTAAATTCCTCTCCCGCAAAATTCATAGGCCTAATTAACTTCGACCGAAAAATGACTAATAAGAGAAATAAAAGGTACCCGCTAGCAGGGCCCTCTCAAGGAGTTTTGTTTGGGGCCTTAAGCAAAAACTCCTTTTGAGCCTTTTTCATTATATATATATATATTGATAAATACCCTTTAAAAAATAATAATATGAGAATTTTTATCTTTCATTCTTAATTCATAATCTTTTTAATGAAATCATTATACTAACAAAAGAGTACTTATCAAGAGTAACAGATAAAAGTTAAATAATTACACTAACAAATAGTATTTATTAAGAGTAAAGAATAAAAGTCTAAACTCGTGTACTCTCAAGAGTAAATTCTCTATTAAAAAAAAAAAAACCTATACACTTAGAACTGAATAAAAAATCTAAAACTATTTTCATAATTTTGATTTCAATGGAGTACCATTTAAAGCATTAATAAGAATTAAGAGAATAAAAGTAAGTTTGATGTATAAAGAGACCTTGTTAGGGTAATTAGAGCACTACGCCATATTGAAAGAAAAGAGTTTGGTATCTCCCAAAAAATAATATCTTAAAAAATAAGTCATTTGAGTGCATAATTAGGGCAATTTATAATTATTAGAAATTTTTTAATATTTAACTCCAATAATACTTATGGGTTATTTTGTTCCAACGCTCAAGAATTTATTGTTGTTTTCCGTTCTCCAAAAATTGTGACGTTATTATTTTTTTTATTTTTTGAAACTTTAATTTAACATATTAAATCGGATAATAACTACAAAAGAAAAATATAATTGGGGGTCTTGTTTTGAAGTGGGGTTTTAGGTAATTGCCTAAGTGGCCTAAGGGTTGATCCGGCTATGCCAGCTAGATGAATTCGGCAATATGAACAACGAAGACTGACCGATAAAGAGAGAAACAGAGAAAGAGGAAAAGAGATAGATGGTTAGGGCATGAAAGCTTGGGGAGAGATTATTATGAGAAAGAAAGAGAGAGAAGCAGCAAAGAAAACAAAGTGTGAAAAACAATTGGAGCAAAAAAAAAGTGTAAAAAACAAAATAAGTAAAGGCATTTCAATTTGTATTGTTAGGAAAATATGTGAAGAGATATTACACTTGATAAAATTGGGTTTTAGATATATGACAGGTGTAATTTAGGCCTCGTTCATTTCACCGATTCGAGTTTTGTTATAGTAAAAAGCTCTCAGAAACAATCACATCTAACTTTTATACTACAGTAAAAAACTCACATAAAATCACATCTCAACTCAAATTAAAAACTCAAATCAGCGAACTAAACGGGTCTTTAATCTACATAGCTGGATTTCTCATGCAAAGACTGGAAGACACATTTGCAGCTTAAGTTAGAGTAAAACTTTACAAAAAGTCAAATTTACCCCTGGTTGAAGTACTAAAACTAGACAAGAGGCATCCCCTCTTTTGTAATACTTATAGGATAGGATAGGATTAACATCATGTTAAGTAATTTGGTTTAACATGGTAAAAGAAGACTAGTTGTCCCCCCTTTTCTTTTTTCTGTTTTAATTAATTAATTAACATCAAGTTAAGTTATTTTTGACTTATTTAGTTTAAAAACGGCTTTTGAATCTGTTTGGATGGACAACCTTAAAATACTTTTAGTTTTTTTAAACACTTTTAGAACAAGTCATTTCTTTAGTGCTTATGAAAAGCTTTTTTATTTACATTTTTAACATTTTATTTATGAACAACAAATTAAATATCACATTCATATTCTTTTATTACGTTACTTTTTATAACAATAAGTGTTTTAGACTTTTTTCCCCAAAGAGGTTCAAAAGCTCTTCTTAAATAAAAAAATAATTTTTCAGATACTATCTAAACACTAATTAAAAAGCCTTAACTTATGCTTAGTTTCTTCTACTACTTAAAAGTATAAGCACAAGCTATCTTAAACGGCCTGAAGACTAGGTGTCCCTACAGGAAATTGACAAGTTTTATCTTCTTGAATGTTAAGCATGGAAATTTGTCTTTATTAAAAGTACAAATAAAATTTTGGGTTTCTAAGAATCTCATTAATCTTTATTTTCAAGTTACTTTGATTCTAAAATGGTGAGAGTGTCTCTAATGTAATGCTAAATTGATGGACCGATGCTAAATTTTGACATTGAAGTCGACAAAGTAATTTTTCAATGCAATACTATGGATTTATTAAGGGCTTGTTTGGTTACGCATTCAAATCAGGGTTCAAATCAGTGGTTTTGATTATGAATTTTGAAATTTAAATTTTTTGTGAGAGAGAATCACTGTAGCAGAACCAATACCATGAGTTTGAACCCATGAATAACTCATATACCAAACATTACCCTAAACTTTATATTCAACAAAGGTTTATATTTTAATTTTTTTTATAAATAACAAAAGGTTGCATTATAATCACATGTTATACCATCATTTTTCACAAGTCTAACGTGTCATTTCATGTAGGCTACATTGAAACTCAAAGCTCAAGTTGAGTTTGGTAAGTTAAGTTCGGTACTTTGAGCTCAATACTTTGAGCTTGATACCTTAAGCTAGACAAGTTGAGCTCGGTATCTCAAGCCTAGTAAGCTGAGCTCAGTACTTTGAACTTGGTATCCTGAGCTTAGTATCATGAGATTGATACCTTGAACTAAATAAAGCCTGGTACGCTGGGCTAGGTAAGTTAAGCCTAATATGTTAAGCGATGTAAGTGACATGGGCGACCTCAAGGGCTACCTCAGCTAGATAAGTGACGTGGGCGACCTCAAAGGCTACTTCAACTAGGTAAGTGACATGGGTGGCCTCAAGGGCTTCTTGAGCTAGGTAAGTGACATGAACGACCTCTGTGATGTCCGAGAAAAATCCAATAATTAATTAAAGATTTTTCATAAATATTACATCGCT